TTTTAAGCATGGTGGTTCTCCACTTAACCCGTTTTGGGGCCCATTGATGCAAAAACTTTTTTCGGGAAAAGTGACTGGTTTCTGATTGTGGATTTCCTATATTTGATACCCCCTATTATTTTGCGGGTTTTACATTAGGTGGCTTGGTATGGGCTTTTTCCGGGGTCCTACCCAAACATTCCTCCTGTTCCACTGCCGGTCACCATTCCTGCATAATCAAGCCTCTCCTGGCAAGAGTGTCCCTCAGGGACAACAATGGGTTTATAAGCTAGGATAAACCATAAAACAACAACAACAAAAAAGCAACCTCCACAACTCCTAAGATTTTAGGTTGTGTATGAGCTTGAATGTTTGCCGTGTTTGCAAAGCAAGGGTGGGTGTGAATCAGGCAGCTACATCCCTTGTGCATATCAAAGTCTTCCTCACTACCATCTGGAAAGAGATAAGTGTGGTTACTGTTACTGTTAGGGTGAGAGAAGTAAACATTTTGTCTATCAAACAGGTTTTTTCATATATCCTCTTGCAAGTGTGTCTGGGCACAAACCAAAGCCCCGCTTGGCTGAGTGCCACTACCTGGGGGTTTGGAGTGTGCCCCCAGAGGGCTCGATCATCCGGATCCTGCGGGGGAAAAAGGACTGGGCACATAGCCAAGCCCCGCTCGGCCAATTTCAAGCGGTTGGCTCATAGCTTCATCCACTCATTGACCAACACCCAGCTTGGACAACACACCACCACCAGCTTCATCACGATTTCTTTTTTGGATTTTTTTTCTTCTTTGAATGCAAGCCTGCTTACTGACATGCTCCTGCTTTGCCTACAACCGCTCGCTGATTGTAGCTGACTGGGTCTTCAACAAACTTTGACCTCAGAGGGTAAACAACAATCCGTGCAGCGGCCGTTGGCTTGCCAATCTGCTTCCCTCCTCCTTGGCAGACTTGGAGCATTGGTGATGGATGAGGAAGGGTGGTGTTCTAAATGGTGTGGAAGGGCAATGGCCACCTTGAGTTATGGGGTGCATTGGCTTTTTGGGGGTGTGGCACCCTCACTTGACATCAGCCAAGCAAGGCTTTGCTCCAAACCCCACCAACTTTGGCATGTGCCAAGCAGGGGTTGGGAGGGTGCCACATAGGCTTTAGGATCAGCCAAGCATGCTTTGGGATCAGCCCCTCACACTTGGCCTCATTTTGGCTGAGCTTTGTCCTATGCCCAGACAGACTTGATAGCCCATATATATATTTGTCTAATCAAAAAGGAGAACATTTTTATCAAGAGAGAAGAAAAAGGAAAGACAATGACAGGATGATAGAAGTTTTTGTGGATGTTTTTTTTTGGAGTGGCTTGGACTTAACTTAAGTACTACTCTATCTACAACGATGCATTGGTTTACTTTATTCATTGATATGTGAGAACATAAGAAAGAGAAATGGAGAATATTGAAAAAAAGAAAGAAAGAACAATAATATAGTATGGAGAGGGAGATAGAATGATGTAAAAACTTAAATTATTAATTTGATTAGGTGAAAGCAATGTAAAAAAAGTTAGCAGTTAAGTATATATATGTATGCATGAAAATAAACAAAGTTGTACGTATTTATGGATGTAAGTAAGTATGTATATGTGTATATGAATAATAGAATGTACATATGTACATCAGGGTGGATGGATGTCTTATTTTTTTTCTAAAGATGGAGTGAAAAAAAAGAAGATAACATGTACACATAAGAACATACTACTTGACAAAAAGAGAGAAAAAGAGGGGGTGAGCTTTGTATATATAAAGGAAAGAGATTGAAAAAAATGGAAAACCCTAGAATGATAGAATAGGGATTGGGAAAAGAAACAGGTGTAAGGTTTATTGACAAGTCATCGAGAGGGAGAGTTAGGATGAAAGGAAGGAGAAATGTGTTCATAGAACCCAGAGAAAAAAAAAGAAAGGGACGAACGGTTTCGTATCTTTCATAGAATCTATCTATTCAAAAATTACAAAGGCACCGATTCTGGATCATTGATGATCCCGTTCCTAATTCGAAGAAAGAGCAGGGTTAATAATGATCAAGTTGAGAGGGGGGGGGCGGTTATGGTTGATAGAGGTGGACTGACTTTCGTAACAGACGTTGCAAGTCTCTACAACCTTGTTCACCTCTAACGATTCCGCCCAATGGAAGTTCGCGTTCGAGTGCGGGCAAGGATTGGACGTATTCGCCGGAGCGATACCAGATAAGGGTGGGAAGGATGTCGCTATCAGTTGCCTTGCAGGTCCTACCTTCGAGAGGGTGATCGTCGTCCGAATGATCATGATGACGATGATGATGATCGGAGGATAATCGTGGTTCATCATCGAACGGGTCGTCGTCCATCAGGTTCAAGCTGTGAAACCCGCGCACCGGACTCGTCCCTAAGGTCGGAATCCCGACGCCTACATTACTGCTGTTCGCCGCCGGGGTCTCGTTGAAAAAATCTAGCTCGGAGGCCAGCGCTCGCAGGAACTTGGTTCGGGGATGTACCCGGGCTAAGTTGGAGAGATGATTATTAAGGATCAAGCATGACTCGAGTGCCTGAATTTGTTTTGAAGGAAGAAAGAGAAGGTCAGGATCAGTTAATCATCGACAGCACAACAAGAAGAAGGACGATGATTGACTAACGGGATCGTATAGATGGACCAAGACGACGGTTTCCTTGTCATCCTTCTCAGCCTCGACAGCCTGGATGAAGTTCTCGACCCCGACCTCACGTAGATGGCCGAACAACTTCCTACCCCTGGCGTCGACTCTGGGGTTATTATTGATGCCGGATGGAGAGGATGAGGGGAGAGAGGAGGAGCCGAATGGCCGACGATGTTGTTGATGGTTATCGGAGAAGATGAGTCTGGTGGTAGTCTTGGTGGAGTTACAGAGTGCGGTATTGGTACGGATCTGGTGGTCTCTGTCGCTGGAGTTGGATGAATCGGAGTCACTGGCTGGACTGGATGGTCGATTGCCGTTGGGGGGGTTGGATCGTTTGGAGGCGAGTGCGGAGGACATGGATATCTGACGAGGGTAGTTGGGTTTGAGGGTGTTCCCGCCACCAAGGATGGCTCCACTCTTCCCATGACTGGCTTTGAAGTCGAGCAGGACCCCCTTGGGTCCAGTATTACCACTCCAGCCTCTGGACATCGATTGGGAGCCGGCGGGACTGGTCGATCGGGGGTTGTGGGTGGCCGGGGAGTTGGTATTCAGGAAGCCATAGCCGTCTCCTCCTGCGGCTCGATTGCGCTGGGGTACGTCAAAGTCGTCATAGTCGTCATCGTCATTGATGGCCAGGAGGTCTTCGAGTGTGCACTCCTCCTGGGATCGATCGGGTTCCCGTCCGTCTGGATCGCGCTCTTGAGGGAGTCCGATTGAGGTGAGCGTTCCGGATAGCGCAGCCTGTTCAAGTGTGGGCATATCCAAGTGAGTATGCTATGTATGAGTGATAGGAAGAAATAAAAAAAAAGGATTGTGGGGGGGCTAGGGTAGGGTTGGTTACGGATGGATGGATGGATGGATGGATAGTAGATGGTTGTTGTTGGTTTTAAGTAGTTTGGGAGGTGTGGTTGGCTGAGGGTGGATGGTGGTTGGTTGGTGGTTGGCTTTGTAAGTTGTTCAGGCAACACAGCTAAATAATTCCAGGCTGATTAAAGTGGAGCATGAAAGCCGAGACTCGATCGAGACCGCCAAAGCAGGGCAGGGCAGAAACTGGACAAAACCAGAGATAAAACAACCACCCAGGATCACAGACCACACACTCCACACATCTCATTCTCAAGCCCGACCATCGGACTGAATCCATCTGCAAGAAGAAGAAGCAGAAACAAGAACAAGAAAAGAAATACACACACACACGAATGCTGCCTGCAAGTCTCGGCAAGTTCTTGGCTGAGAAGACGGGGCTGGTTTATACTACACTGCAGCTCCAAGACTCAACAGAGGGAGCACTGACTGAGAGATCAAGTACACCCAAAAACACCCCATCAGCTGCAATGACGTGCTTCCTCCTTCCTGACCAAAATCATCATCAACAAAACTGATCACACACAGAAAAAAAAATCACTTGGAAGTCTTCATGACGCTTAATGAGTTTTAATTATGTATTCACATACATATTTGGAGAATGGGCACATATCAATGTGATTCCCAGTTGTGAGGTTTGTAATGACTCATCGGACAAGACTGCAGTATATAAAACTGGTGATCGATCAAGACTACGATTTGTGAATAACGAATGGGCTACCATCCTGTTGAGATAAGGAGGGGGGGGGAGACCCCAGTTGAATGCTGGCTTTTATCATGGCTAGTTTTACTGGGCTCTCGCCTCACGGGGGACCTGTTTCGTAGAATTGCAGTCTCAACGGATCTCTCGGACAATCGGGTAGTGAACTGCCGAAAAGATTCAAGAATGCTTCCGGGGTCGAACAGTGTAATAATCAAATCGCCCTCGACAATCGAGAAGAAGGAGCAATAACTCCAGCCAAAAGAAAGGCCTGGCTCAACCGAGTTTGAGCGGCATCCTATGTATTTGCTATCACAACATTTATATGTACTCATCAGGGTTCTAGAACTCTATCTACTTCACCCTTCCTTTTTTTATTCAATAATTCGAAAGACATTGAGTTCTCAAAGCACTGTATCTTCAATCATCCTGTCTTTGGTTCTTTATTCCTATCCTGCCTGTCTTTCATTTATATTTCATTCTCTGCATAACTCTTATTCTTTTTATCAAATCTCTTATCACGGACCAACAGCTATCTCTCTCACTATTGTCTCTCCTTTTACTTCTAACACTGAGACCTATCTTTGGTCGCCATTTTATAAAGCCTTTCGATCTTTTAACATACTTCAAAAACATAGAAGGTCGGTCATCAGACTTGACCCTATGCTGCAAGATAAGTGGTTGTTAAAATACTCCATGACTGACCATTTCTCAATTTTGTGATGTATTTAATCTCCAGAGTTCCTTGGCAATTCCCAGTCTGGATTTAGAATATGGACATCCATCGATTCATCCATTTGGCACTCCTTAGCTGGCTTTTCGTCGTCTACCCGATTCTTAGCTTACCCAGGCCTGAGCCAATGTTTTCTTTGGTTGGGGATGGTGGTCGTGCTACCGCAGGTTTCAAAGGTGGAGCAGCCGCTAAATCAGCAGCTGAAATGGCAGGAGGCGTTCCCGACCCTCACTTGAATGTGGCATTGGAATCAACTCACACGGTCGCTGATCCCTTGAGCTCCACTGGTCCTTCTGCCAATCCCCTCGTCAACCTGCGAAAAACTGAGATCCCAAAGCCACCTGAAAAACCAGTCACGCCAGAAGTAAAGCCCCCAGAAACCCCGCCAGAACCGCATGGTACAGATGGCCCGCAAACTGAGAAACTGGCCGAGGCAGCAAAGGCAAGTCGACTAGCCCAATTGAAGAAGATCTCTGGAGACGGTTTTGCTTACTTGGGAAGCCAAACGTGGAGAGGTTTGAGGGCTATCGGGAAGGCTATCCAAAGAGGGATACGAGATTTTGGAGCAGACGGGTCGCTTGATTACCTGTACCGTAACTCTCGGACATCCTTATCGGTGGCAGAACAGGAAAAAAAGGCATTGGCGCTCAAGAATACAAATATCAAAAAAATGGCCGCATGGTTTCGGGAAAAGATCGGATCAAAGGAAGCTCACCCCAGCGTTGCAGAAGCAGGTGGTCATGCTGAGGAAGGTTCGATGGCTGCAAAGCACTCCGAGGGCCTGGAGAACAGTCACGCCGTGGAAGATTCGAAGGCTGCAAAGAGCTCTGATGCCTTGGAAGACACGACGGCTGCGAAGAACTCCGGCAGCTTGGAAAACAAACATGTCCCCACTGCGGCTGAAGCTACTAAGGGTGAAGAAAGTGCAACGAAAGCATTAGACAAAAAACCTCCAGGGATGATGGCCAAAGTTTGGAATTTCATCGCCGCTCCCTTCCGGTCGATCGATAGAGTCTACACCGCGTTCAGAGTAGCTCGGGCTGAAAAAGTCGTGTACGGATCCAGTAAGTCTGATCGGCTGGCTGCCCATGTCCTGGAAAGGTTCGAGGCACAGGGCCCTGGTTTCTGGAGTAGAATGAAGACCAAATTCCCCGGCTCCTCTAACAAAGTAAAAACAATCGATGCCGAAGCTGATCACGCCAAGCCAGTCGACGCAGCGGATGCTACTCATAATACAGCCGTATAGGTTGCTAATTATGGTAGGTACAAATTTTGCCTGGGTGTCACAGAAAAATCCCTAAATCAAGGAGATTTATAGTAAATGGTAATAGACACTTTATCGCTCTTTATGATTTCATTCATTTGTCACACTCCTTATCCAGATCAGGATAGAAAGCAGCCTTTATTTCCCTCTGTTTCAGTATCTTCATCCATCCATGATTTCCTATGTCTCTCTTCTTATGGCATGAAATTCTATAAAGGATTACGGTCCAGTACTTCAATGCCAAATAAATGTGCAGCCATTTGCATAGTAAAACAATCTGTTGACAGTAATAAGATTCTGGGGGAAAAAAACTTTTTACGTACTACTGAATAAAACAAAACAAAAAATCCCTCCATAATCATTCACAACATGGGTATGGAGTGTTGATAGTGAAAGTCAAACTTGGAATATAACCAACATTTCACACTGAAAACTAATTGATTGGAATAGAGGATGTGGTAGGTAAGAAGATGGGAAAAATGTACGTTTTGGTGAGACCCATTTTTAAACGTAAAGCCCTAGAAAATGAATGAGTTTGCGATTGAAAAGAAGCTCCTCCGAATTAGTTAAGTCAGGATAAGACCGTGAATGAGTTTCTGGTAATGCTTTTCAAAGTAGCTTAAACCCCCAAATCTTCAGCGGAGAATCGTATCACAACTCATTCCTAGTTTTTCTCAAATTGTCCAAAATCACAAAAACTAAATCTTTATTGTGACGACAGCATGTGTGTAAATATCTGAAGAGAGCCCTTCATGTCAGCGAGGAACTCCCTCAGGAATTCGGATCCGTCATACCCGCAGATATTCAGCAACGGTTGAGAAAACCATGAAGCACTCACTGTCACATAATTGCAAACCCCTCATCTCCCTATGCACAATGTGAAACAATGGAAAAAGCTTAAATCACACCGGATGAAAGGGTTGATGTGTAAGATTTGTCGCCACAAACCCTCATGGAACAAGAAGAAAGTAGGCTCGACCGTGATGGATCCTTCATTCCCTGACTTCAGGGCCACTTCCCTAGGGGCAGAAGGTCGCCGAATAGAGCAGACTCCTACCGCTAGGGTTTTTTTAATCCCCGGCCAAAGGGCTACATCTACGTCCGTCGTTCACAGGCCAAAAGGGCCGTCTCTTGGAGAAGTGCGTTTCTCATGACGGTTGTTTTCTTCTCGGTGGGGAAGCTGAATAGATGGGGTAACTGAAGTTGCGTTTGTGACGTGGCGACTTGTACTTTGCGGATGCGGACGGAGTACTTGAGGGTGATCTGAAGTTACGCCTGTAACTGCAACCCGTTGAAGGGGAACCTAGTAACTCCCGTAGGATCCCGATCCTTGTCATTCTCTTTTCGCGCATTTGCTGTTGAATGCGACGGGAATGGGTTGCGCGTGGCCTCATACAACGCGGTCGCCGGTGACGTGATTGATACGAAGTCCTCTTCTTTGTCAATAACGCCTGTAGTGAATCTGTTGCATGTACTCACTGCTCGCACGGGCTTCATCCCGTCCGCTTCATTTGCTGCATCGCTATAGGCTCTAGAGGAAGTTGATGGAGATGTATAAATAGACGAGCTTGCCTTCATCTCTCCAAACCAATTCTTTCACCACACCACAAACCGTTCAGCCAGTGTTGATTCACTCACCTTTTATTACTTCTTCAGCCCCAGAGGTTCCAACCCAGTTTGTTGGTTTTTTTTTTTCATAGTTGTACATACTCGACTTCTTTTTCTTTTTTTTCGGCATTTCACTAGCTAGTCAGTCACTGCATCGTCTGTCCGGCACGGCTTCACAAAACCAGAATTTTCGGGCATTCCAATCCAATACTTCCAACATGCTATTTCAACTCTCCACCCTGAGCTTATTGTCCATCTGCTCATTCGCTGCTGCTGCAGGGCCTCCTAGAGTTGGTACCAAGTTCCCACAAGTGCAAGGAACCTATTGGAACGGCGCGACTTATGCTGGAAGGTCCGTAGCACTTTATAATATGTTCTTCAAATGATGCTCACACCTGTCCTATGTATGGTTCAACACGAGCAATTGACTGACTTTCTGAACCCCTTTCTAACATGAATAATTTATCTCACTGTTAATTCGCAGTTGCCTCTTGTCAACCTATCAACAAGCCCCTCCAGCAGGCTTAGAATATGTCGCAGTGGCCAACAATCTCAACCGCAACGGAGACTATTGCGGCGCGTGTATCAAAGTCACTCCACTCCAAGGGAAAAGGGCGCCGGTCCTCGCTATCGTTTCTACTTACTGCGCTGATGTGAGTTTTTAGAAAATCACGCACAGCCGAAAGGAACACCCAAATGTTGACTGACTCATTTCACTTGGTTATGGTCCTCAATTTTCTACTTGACACAGTGTCCCGCAAATGCTCTCGACATGCCGGGCACGATGTACGATCGCCTCATGGGCAGCGCACCTGGCAGACCTGGCATAGGCAAATTCAGCTGGTAGGCGCTTTTTTGTACATCACTGCGCATTCTTGGTTTTATTCTAACATTTTCTATTTCATCATCTCCAGGGAAGTTGTAGCATGTCCATTGAAAGACGCGCTACCAAAGATCAAAAACAAGGAAGGATCCTCTAAATACTCCCTCTCGATGCTCGTTGCCGATGCCAAATTTCCTGTTCAAAGTGTTGAAATCAACTCGGACAAACGAGTTTTCCCGGCTTACAAGAGGGACTACAACTACTGGGAGATTCATAACTCAGGTCCACCTTTGGCCAACACTGTCGATGTCAAAGTCACTTGTACCAACACTCGTTCCTTTGTCGTCAAGAATGTCGACCCTTCAAGCAAAGATCCTTTCAAGGCCGCCAACGGTTGCTGATCAGTTCGGACTACCCGGCCCCTCGACTGTCTATGTATAAAATTTCTGATTGATATCAGCTGGCATTGGTTCTCTTAGGCTCTTGTATGCACACGGCACAGAGGTTTTATACCCATATGTGCCTAACAAATTTGTTGCATGATTTTTTGAGAATTATCTGTTTTTTTCTGTCTGGATTACTTTGAATTTTAACTATTCAACAATTGAGTAAAACAATTACTTCAAAAAAAAGCTTGAAACTCCCTCGAAATGCTTCAAGAGGATTTACTTTTTCATGAGAAGATTGGAGATGTCATCAACTTGAGACGCAATGTTACAAAATCAAATCTGCACTTAAAAAAAAAAAAAAAAGAGCACACCATTGTGTACCGTATTGGTTTGCCTTGGAGAATTGTCAAATTTCCATTGGTTGAACTGCTCATGCATTTTTTGTCCCAGCTCAACACACTGTCGTTGGTACATATCTTCAGTCAATCCCTCCCTTGTTTGCCGCCGTGTGGCAAACAAAGTTCGCGTCGACCGTAGGGAGGCACCTGCGGCTAGAGCCGCACATCCTACGGTAGAGGATTCAACAAACAACCGTGGCTTTCAGAGTTTCGCGGTATAAATTCTGTAACCAGCCCGTCCGAATTGTTCTTGTCACTTGTACATATTGCCCATCTGGTCAATCACTTTTTTTGGGTCTGTTTTGAGCCTTCTATCCCTTCATCTTCCTCCCCACAACAATGTCACCATAATATTATCTACATACCTCCCCCCCCCCCCAATCCATCATCAAAATGAGTTGGAAGCGACTCAATGCACTGATCAGCAGTATTCATACGTTGAAAAAATTACTGCACAAGGCGGGAGACTTGATCAAGTTGGCCGTTGTTGATGGTCTCTCCAGTCGACGGGTGCACAATTGTTGAATTGTTGAGCCAAACTTTACAGAGATCAGTAGGGGTACCCGATTCATCCGGGTAAGGGTGTCTATCGGGTGACGGGGGAGAAGCGCTGCATATTCCCTCCGCCGAATTGCCAGTCAACTGCTTTGACGCTTGACCATCAACTTCAACCTCAACCTCAACCTCAACCTCATCACCAAATGAACAACATCATCACTCACAGACAACTACAAATACCCTCAGCCAGCTTCAAAAACACCCGCTCGCTAAAGCTTTGTCGACCTTATCACTCAGCTGAATACTTATACCGCCCTGCGAACAACAAGCTTCAATACCGACTTCCTCTATCCTGCTCGAACCTCAAGCTAAATGACGTCACTCAACCCCTCATCAAGACAGCAAGAACGAATTCCTACAGCTCTCTTCTTCCTACCCATCATCCTCAACACTCCATCGATTCCACAAGGAGGTCATTCCATTCCAGCCCACCCAGAAAAGATGTGATTGAATTAACTTGTATCTTATTGAACTTTTTTTTTTCCTAATAAACTGATTAAGAAAAATAAAATGGAAAATAAAATTTTACTTGCTTGCAAAAAAAAAAAAACAATAGCTCTTTGGTTTCGGTGTCTTCTCATGTTCAATTCCGATCTTCAAGTCTTTCCTTCTCTCGTTGACTCGAGGCACACTGGTGATCTTGCCGTTCTGGTACCGCTGGAAACTGGCCCGACACTTTCCGCGTGCCTCCCGGACGCTCTTGACGATTCCACTGTTTGCAATGTGTCTGGTAATCGCCATCGGGATCGACCAAAGTCCACGGACCCATCGCTGGCGATTGTTGTTAATGTCAGAGGCCGAGGAGATGGAATGGTCCCGTCGTAGGTTCGAGGACCTGGTCAGCACAGATGGGGATCTGATCGTAGGCCCACAAGACCCGAGAACTCAGATGGTCAAGGAAATCTGCGACCGGTTGATGACCGCCTTAGATCTTGACTCACCCGTCTCCGCAGCCGCCTGGCCCAGAAACCCTGAGATCGATGAACAACATCACTTCGGGCGTCGTGTTGAACCGTCAAGAAAGGAGATCAAATCTAGCGCTACAGCCAGCTCGGATCTTTTGCCCTGGAAACCTGAATCCAGCAATCCAGAGAAAAAGCTGGAGTCCAACGATTGGGAGCTTTTCATTATGTGTGTTGCGCGTCTCATTTGGATGACTTAGAAACTTGAAAATTATCAAACCATCAAAAAATTCACTTCAACTCTCTGATCAACAGCCCTTCTTTTTGTTTGGATGTAGTGACTCACCACGAATCAACGCGTTCGTCCTTCCAACAAAAAAGATATTTGTATACACGGGTCTCCTCGAGCTGATTCAAAACAGTGAAGAAATGGCCGCGGCTGTGATAGCGCATGAAGTTGAGCTTTCACTCCTTCCTTCTATAATTTGGAGTACATGTGCAATAAAGCTAAAAAGATCTGACCATCTTGGTAGGTGTCACATGTGGTTGAGAGACATGCAGTTGAGAACTTAGGCTTCTCGGCCCTCTCAGCAGTCGTCTTTGACGCCATGAGAGGCGTATCTTACGCTCTCACTATTTCTTTCCCCCTTCTCTCAGACGGCCTTGCTTTCTGCATTAATTACTTGAATGACGTCGTGGTTCAAAAAGCTTATAGTCGAAAATTGGAAACTGAAGCTGATGAACTGGGATTGATGGTAACTTTTCTTATGATTTGTTGTCGTTTTTTTATCAAAACTGGAGCAGAGTCTTATTGAGACATTCTTTTTATTTGGTCTCTTGATCATAGATTATGGCTCGAGCTGGCTACAATCCAGGTGCCGCAGTGAAACTATGGAATCTCCTCAACCGACTGGAAGAAGACCAGGAAACCAGCCATGGCAGTAGTGGCATAGGATGGCCAGAGACAATCCCATGGACCAGGACTCACCCGACTTGTAAAGATCGAGGACTGGTGTGTATCTTGTCAATTTGTCTTTTCAGTACATCACGCCATTTTCTCCACACCTAATTTGTTTGCTTTTATTTATCCTTGTGTCACGTCACAGACTATCCAGAAAGCCTTGCCCAAAGCTCTGAAATATTTCCATCAACCACAGCCTTCGTCTTTCCCATCAAACTCTACAACAGCTTCCACGTCTCCATCCCTTTCATGATCCAAGAATCCCGTGACATCAACCAGTCGGCTACTTTATCCAATCACTAGCAAATCTTCGTTTCTTCTTCTTTAATATTGTCTCTATAAACAAGCAAGTCTTCTTAATATACATCCTCTCTTCGGTTTCTTTCACACCCTTCTCCATATATGAGGTATTATTGTTTGCACAACGGTCTTCACTTGATCATTTCCCTCAGATAATCTTGTTCACTTTAGTATACATACAGGAGGTGCAACACTATGTACTCGTCAATTTTATTCTAATGATGTACTATTTTTATCACGTAGCTATGTGTTGTTCCTCCTCTTCTATTATCAATCTGTTGTTGTACCTGCTTGCCTGCTTCGCATTCTTCTTTCATTTGGTCTTTTGCATTTTTCTTTTGTTCTTTTTTCAGAATTTGTGTTCTGTGTTTCAATGAGAGATTGCATACATTTTCCAGCCTCAATATTTTTCTATCTTATCAATTATAATTAATTAGCTTGTCCTTTTTACAACTTGAGTTTGGATTGTAAACTGGAAGCTTCATACCCTCATCTTCATGTCTCAAAATGTGTTATCAAATTTCCAATTTTTGACAGTTCTGCCAAAACAAATTTCTCCAATGCCCAAGACCTCACAACCTTTGTGATTGAAAATAGCTTTCAGATTTCCAAAAAATATCAACAATCATCAGGCAATCAATCATTTGATAACATTATATCACTTTGATGGTAATAGTACTATCATGTTATGCCCTAATTAGCAAAAAGAGACCAAGAAATTCTCCACCCTTAGGTGCTGAAATGAGACAAGGTGAGCATTCCATACCAAGCCTGGAAGGAAATCCAGTTGGCAATAGATGTGGATGACAAAGGGAGGACCTATGTGGGAAAGTGAACAAAAAATCCAGTTTTCAGCCCAATTTTGAAAACTTGCCACGGAGGAAGTTGGGCATTAGGCATAGGCCTCCACTGGCATGGATGATAGCTCCTCTGCTTGCTACCATTCCCACCTATGCAGGCCTAGTCAAGCTCGCCCCCATGGAGCCCTATCTGGGCAACCAAGCCCCTCACTATGCCTAGCTTAACACAAGCCGCACCTTGATTGACTCAAAAAGCACGCCTCCAAAGGAGAGGCTTGGGAGTCAAGTGAACTTTTCGGGCTTGAGAGGTTTTGAGGTTTTGGTGGGGGGAAACTTTCCCTACACTCCCCCCCCCCCCATCTTCCAGCCACAAATACGACTTGCCTCTTGGATCATTGGAACCAGGCAGATCTTGCCTGCCATCTGATAAAGAATGGACCTCTCTTTGTAATTTGACCACATTCAAAACGCCTTGCAAATTCAAGGATCCCATGAGCCTGGACCAATCGTATGCGGCTGTATTGTCTTTTCACTTGCATCACCCATCTTGCCAGCTAAAACATCCCATCTCCACACAGACATCTAAACCCAACACCCTCCACCCCTCGTCCCTTCTGAAACAAAACATTAACACCAAAAATCACACCTGCTCTCTGTGCTGTCATCTCTATCCTCAGTGGTTAGCAAAAAAAGCAATGTATGTCCCTATTGCTGTACTATTTTGCAGCAAAAGCGCAAAAAGAGTGCTCCGCTGCATAGATGCCAGATTGGGTGTAGTGGTGTTTTTGCTGTGTTGGCACGGAAACTTGCGTTTGGCCGCTACCGCCATGTATTGCTATTTGATGTCAAGAAGCTTGCAAGGCCTCTGATTAGCAGTGGTCTTCCCCCACTTTGAGCTTGTGCAACCAACTTAGACCGCTGAACTGGTGCTGTTTGGGATAGACCTGAGTTCATGATACTGAAGCACATGATGGACACTATGCTTTCAGGGTGGCTGAACTTGGGTGAGTTATGGTAAAGTTGAGACCAGGAAGTTGTTTGAATTCTCTTCCATTGCAGTAACCTGTGATACTCATTCTCTTGTGTCTTCTACTATATACAACATTTAATTAATCTTGAACATGCTTCTGTTTTGTGAGAGGAAAAGTGACCATTGGGTTTGAGATAAAAAGAGAAGAGCAATAAAAGTAAAACTGTGTTTGGGCTAGTGTTACGCCACAAGCTTTATTTTGCAGATCCTCAGAAACAAATACAAGAACAAAAGGAAAGATGAATATTCACATAGAATTGGAAAGATGTAGTGCAGGATAAATTGGGGATAAGTTATCACGGATATTCGAACCGATGAGAAAAGGGATTTATGTATGTAGAGATCACGAGAAATACAACAGATTAGGTCCATAGATTACATCAAAAGATTATCGGACAAGTCAGAAGCTTGTAAAATACACCTATCGACCAGATGGGTGAACGTTAGTAAACCAAAACAATTCTCGATGGTTTCAAGGAATGCCGTTCTCACCTTGGAAGGAAAAACGATTCCATCATCGCTGACCAGGATAATCTGTCTAGCGGTTGGGCTTTGGCCGTTCATGGGATGATGCGGCGGTTGAGCTAAGATGACCTCGGCACACTTGTGTTCCACATGAGGGCTGGGGATGTCACCGAACCAAACATGCAAATGGGGCGAAAGATTCGCGCCGTAAATAACTGTTTTTTTTTTTTTTGACGGACGATGAAACGGGATCAGGTAAGTGCACTGGTTTCTTGACGCCATGCGCGGGGAAAAAAGAAAAAAAGAAACTCAACTGATCATTTTTAGCTCTTGTGGATCAGAGGCCGCCGGATTGGGTGGCAGGTATTTTGAGATCGTCGGTATCGGAGTCGCACTGTCGTAGCCGATCGGTGCAGCTGGGATCGGAGTAGTGAAAACGTCGCTAACCGCACCGGGGGAAACTGGGGATGAGGGCTTGCCGTTGATGAGCACGGGTGGAATCCAGAACGTGTGGCGTTCAACGTACTGGAGAGTGGGAGGGGGTCACAAGGAAGGGTTAATTTCAATCCTTTCGGTCTCTCGGTTAGTCAGATATTTGAGTCCAGACAGAAAGCAAACAAGAACGTACCACAACCGACGATCGTCCAGACTGCAGGCTCACCACATTCGATAGTCCAGACTTTCGATGCGTGTGGATACAAGGAGTTGGAATGACTGCACTCGGACTCCGAACTGTGCTCATCATGACCACAGGAACTAATCGAGGCCCCTCGTTTTCGGTTTTTACTCAGCGCGCGACCGTGCAGCAAGGAAGCCGACGCCTTCCGAGGCCGCTTGACTTTACCACCGTCCGAGGAACCCAAATCTAGGTCCAACGCACTACTCGGGGTGTTACTACGAGCGCGGGAGTTTCCAGCAGAGGAAAGGATGGGCTGATTGAGGTGAGAGGCGAGATAGTTTGCCTCTGCTAGGGCGTCCGAGTTGGTGCCCCCAAACGATCTAGCTGAAGAGGCACTGGGGGGTGGTGTCATTATTGGAGGGACAGCCTGACGACCTGACTCTGCTCGATGAACGCCGACATTCTCTCCCAGACAGGCCAAGAAAGAGCCAGAGCCCGGGAAACCGGCGTATGGGGAGGTGACCGGAGCCAAGTAGGCCGATTGAGGATCAGTCATCACTTCGAGAGCGATTTTGTGAAGCTGAGACACCGGATCTCCTAAGACTTCACCGGGTGCGACGGGCATGTCCCGTTGACCAGACGACGCGTTCCCTTCCAAACTGGCACCCCCGATCGCGGTAGACCCTTTGTCAACCTTGCGAATAATCATCACAGGTGAGACTACGGCCGTGCTCAAGCATTGAAGCACGACAGGCTGATTATAGTAAATCGGAATCGGGCCACCGTTCGGACTGACTGGAAGGGCATTCGAGGGGGCTCGTGGATAACCGGGTGGGGGTGGGTAGGCAGGGGCAACATTGTCGGGTACGGTGGCTGGTTTGGATGGGTCTACCAGGTATATTATGAAAGGATCCCAAGCGGAAGTGCGCGCAACAAAACAGGTGGCATCTTCACCAGGAGCAAATGGCTTCTCTTCCATTCCGCTCATCGCACGCCAATCGCCGGCCGGGAAGCTTGCCGATGGGCCAGAAACACAAAGATACTTGGTCGAGACAGTTTCTGCGTTGGCGACATGGGTCACGTCAACAGCCTGCAATTAACATGGGACAGACGGGGACTCACGTGAACGTAACCGGTTGAAAAGAGCAATCGTAGTTCCGTGGTGTATACACACTGTGAGGGTAGTAATTGATGGCATGTTAAGCAGTAAGCTTTAGCAAGACGCATACATACTTGTTGTATCCACACTTACAATCCAAATTTTTGATACTCTGTCTCTTCTTGCTGGGTTTACTAATCACCTTGATCGGTTTACTTGGGAAGGTGCCGATGTGACGAGCCTCGGGTGGGCCGAAACCAGGTGCAATGACACGAACCAAAGCTTCGACTTTCTTGGTCTTTTCATCGACCTCCGAGATATGCAGCTGCAGGAACACACTGAATCAGAACAAAGTTGTCTTAAGTTGCGGAAACATTACACTTCGACTCAACCTGTTTTCCTACGCAACGCCCAGCGATTACCACATCATCTAATGATGCTTGATCGCCCACAACGTGTCCAGACATAGACATCCATTCGGAATAAGCCTCTGTCGGGATACTGTGCTCTCCTGACATGCTGACGATAGTGGTGGGTGGATGCAGAGCAAGGCGGTTGGAGCTTGGCATCGGGCGTCGAGGGTCAGCATCAGCCGCAGCCCACCAACTGCAACCTAATAGTAACGCCGAAGGTGGTGGACATAGAAACCTGCCAATTCAATGTGTTAGTTAGCGTTTATCAAGTTTTGCCTCGCAGAAGGAATAAATTACCTTTTCTCGGCTCCATAAGACTTCTGCGCAACTTTACCAGATAGAACTAATACTGTTCGCTCACCCAACATGAATCGGTTGGTAGAGGACAAATATAGTCGAATGAAAGGGCTGCAGCGACGGAACCAAAAAAATCACCTATCAACTTTAACCCTTTTTACAATGGGAAAGAGGATATCGATATTACTTACGCTAATAGAGCTTCGCGCTCTGCGCGAGAGATCATGTTCTTTGGAGACATGAAAGCGGCAAACAGTTGATCAGAAGGGTCTAGATGTAAATTGGAAAATTGATGGCCGATAGGAGCAGACATTGGCAGGGAGGATGGATGTACTGCCGGATTCCATTCGTGGAGATTCTCACTGAACTCGGCAGAGTTGGAAGATGTTGAGCGGTTACGGCTCATGGCATTACTCTCAAGGGATAATGATCGGGAGTAAGCCGGGCCGGCAGACATGGGCTGAAGCGCCTGATTGTGGGTGTTGGGCGAGAGTGATCGGTGGGGGTGATGGAGGTCATGATTTAAAGTAATTGTCGCATCGTTACTTGAGTCCTCTCCAACTTGAGGGCGACGGCCAGTGGAGCCGGAGCGCACGTTCTGGAGAACGGGCGGTGCTGGGAAGCCACTCAAGGCATAAGCATGTTGCGCCGAATGTGGTTGGAGATCTGCCGAGTCAGACGGAGGAAGCGTAGATTGCGCCGAGGTTGAATAGCGCGAATTGTGAAAAGCTGAGTCCGCAGGTGCCGAAGATGGATGTTGAGGCGCCGAAAGATCAGAGGTGTTGAGTCTCAAGTGGCTGTTATTGTTAGGAAAGCCAGATGATCCATGTGATCCAAGGTCAGGTTTATATCCTCCGTTGTTCACATTCATGTCGCTCGGAGTCATTGGTGTATTGATCCCGGCCCATGATCCAGAGCCTTCACTATCACTCCGGGAACGAAAGTTGTTCATTCCAGCCAGGGTCGGTTGCAAGCCATTGGAAGAAGCCTGCTGATGCTCCTGGTACTGATTGTAGGGATCTTGAGAATAAAACTGTTGAGTGATCCTGTTACAAAAATAAAGGGTTGTTCAATCACTCCAATCTCTGGATAACGAACGGGAGAAGCACAACTCACGCGCCGGAGGGGGGAAATAGAGAGGATGATGAGTTCATATGAGATTCGAAAGAATAAGCATTAAATTCTCCCGGTTGTGCCAATTCGAGGGAAGCTGAAGCAGCGCGGAAACTTGACAAGTCGGCGTGATTTGGGGACTGATGGAGGCCGGGAAAAGAGCGCGAATGTGACAGATGTGCTTTTCGAGAGTTAGACTGATGGTTTTCAGATTCGTCTTGCTGATGGAGTACTTGAGTCAAGTCCGCATCCTGGTCGTAAAATGTCGAAGAGGGAAACATGGCCGACGACTCCCGCATGGTTTGGCTAGCTGCCCAGGAAGAAGGACCTGGGCTTGTTGAAGAATGAAAGCCATTGTTGGTCTGAGTCCAGTGAACATCATCGGTGGTCGGCTCAAAGGGTTTGTCACCATTTGATACATAGAGGTAGTCCACCATGATGGGTTCACAAAGCTATTCTGGGTAAGTGAAATGAAGGATTGCGCTCAGGAGTCCTCCTGTTGGCAGAGAGTGCGTATGTGAATGAGAGTAGCTTGAGAGTGCAGATTGATGAGTAATTTCTCAAGAGCATGTACTGAAGCTGAGCAGAAAAACGTGGAGAAGGTTAGGCTGAGGGAATGGCGGTATGTATGGGAAAGATCGAATCAGATCGAAATTGTATTATTTATATAGATTCAGATATATAAGGCTCCAAGGTGAAGGACTAAGTATCAAGGACGGTTGGAAATATATAATATAACACCTCAATTGTCTGGAGTGAGCCAATACATAGCTAACACTCTCTGGGCTTATAATTATCTGAGATGGGTGAGGGTATATGAACTGGCCCAAGCTGAAGGCCAAAACAGGGATGGGTGCGGGTCTGAACACTAGAAAATAATGCCGGGTAACCGCGTTCTTGGGACTAGGGAAGGAGCTTGCTGTAAGGCCGAGAGTCTATTGAGATTATGTCCAGCGCGAGGTTCAGGGGGGAGGAAAGTGGAGAGTGGCTGGCGGATACGACGGGGAGCTTGGAGGCCGGTGAGGCTCACTGTCACTGAGAGCGGAAGCTGGGGTTGGCGGACGCGTATTGTTAATGGAGTCTAGGCCGACCGCTGGATGCAAAAGTGGGAGGCATGATCAAAGAAATGATGATGATTTGATCAGATTATGAGCAAAGCGCTTCCCATGCCTGGATAGCGTCCCAGCCAGCTTCAGCAGACAAGTCGACTGACTTGAAGTTAACCACACTTTCAATTGAAAGAGCTCCACTACGCTTGTCTACTATGAATCACTCTTGTCTTGAAGGGCATTCAATCGAATTTCAACTAATTTCAGACAACAGCGTCCAAATCGCCAAATCGCCGAGCATATAGACTTCAGACTCTCATGAAGGTAGAGCATGAATTGACATATTGCTTACGTTTGTTGGAGAGCTCTCAATGCTTTCCAAGTCTTGACAAGTGATCATATTTTTAGACATCTTTATTGTAGAGCGCGCCGAGTCTCCGGGAAATTCGGCGCTTGCACAATCACATTCAATCCGCGTTCCCCGGCCGGAAACCTAAGAAAGAATTATTCTACGCTGGTGAAAAACAATTTATCGAGCAGACCAGGCCCGACGTCGATGATCTGGATACCATCTTGTGTCATTGCATAAGTCTGCGTCAATTAAGCCTCACCGCCGTCTGCACCAAATCCCACACTATGTAGTTTGAGGGGATGATGGGCAAATGGTTTTCGGGGCATGGCGGTCCCTATTGTATGTAGTGATGATACAATTTTGAATTTTCTTGAGAGAAAAGAATTGCTGAGCCGCTGGGTGGAACGAATGTCGATGCTCTTACGAATTCAAAGCTATTCAAAGGACAAGACCCACGAGCTTCTCACACCGAAGACCGAACGTCAATCGACAGGCTTGATATAAGTTGAAGGGCCACGTGAGTAATGTGAAGTGGCGTGCGATGGATTGCTGGATGGCCAGCAGGTTTTGATCACGCTCGAATGGATTGCGCGGCTACGGAGAGCCATGAGATTGAGACTCATCATCGACTCGAGCAGGGAATCGATTATGTACAACTTTGGCCACATAGTCTTAAGCGCGATGTTTAGGTGTTACAAACTTGTTAGATTGACAGACTAGACCAAGGATGGGCCTGGCCGTCAATCGCGTTCTTATTCTGTGTGGAGGACCATCAAGAGCAAGTCTATCGAGACAGAGTGCAGACGAGGTGGAGAATTGACGACCTTTAGACCTACCGGTCTTGCACTACAGAGGTGCAGTAAGAATTACATATGAATGCACTCCTGTAGTGCAAAAACGGTGTTTTGGGATACAATCCCGCTCCCAATCCCGATCCCGCAATCCCGCCATCCTCCCCCCCTCGGAACGATTGTATTCCCAATACCAATCCCCAATCCCTATCCCCTATCCCTAACCCCTATCCCTAACCCTATCCCTAATCCCTATCCCTAACCCTATCCCTAATCCCTATCCCTATCCCTAATCCCTAACCCTAACCCTATCCCTAATCCCTAACCCTAAAGCCTAAGGCCTATTGGGGTGATTGAGGAGGGAGGTTTTTTTTTTTGAAGTCGAACTTTGATCGGGTTTGACTGGAGGGGGTGCGGGAGGATTGCGGGCATTGCGGGATCGGGATTGGGAGCGGCATTTACTCGCTTTAGCACTGTAGTAGTGCAATCGGCATGTAATTTCTTATCGCACTTCTACAGGGCATG